ATTTAAGTATAACAGAAAACCATTTCACTTTAAAGTATGAGAATAATGTGGCCTTCCCTGCCTTCTTAGAAGATCATTTGGCTTTGTGGAGAATGTAGTTGCAAAGATAGATGCTCTTGGTCAAGGTGACATTCTTCCCAATGAGTGGCCTCTGCAGATCAAGTCTCAGGGAAGGATCTCATTGGTCAGCCTTGAGGCTCACGCAGATTCTGTGGCCCCAGTGGTCTGATATATTGAGTGGCACAGTCAAGGTTTCATACCCACATGGAGACTGTGGGAATATGGTCAGCCCATTCTGTCAGTGAGTACTTGAGGATACATTTAGCAAACGAGGTGATGGGTGTGGGGCAGACCAAAGTGTTAGAAGTCTTCTGTGCCTCTCGACAGCATTCCTTGAGTGTGCTGTGTCATCTGCCCACAGTGTTCTTTCCTGTACCTCTCCCCGCTGCCACTGTTCCTCAGCCCAGCCACTAGGACATCACTGCAAAGGGGAGGCATTTCTTCCCGGTTTTAAATTAAAGTGGTTTCTACCTTTGTATGGTCCTGGCTCTGCCCTCCGAGGCCTGTCAGAGGAGCCCACATATGATCCCTACAGACCCTTTGAGGAGAAGAGGAATATTTCATCTCAAATAGTTACCTTCCCTAAATAGCCTGGGCTAATTCCTGTCTCTTCTCAAGAGTTCCTCCATGATTCCAGTCTCTTTCCTTGGAGTACTCAGGACTTCATAAGAGGTTCAAATGCTTTGTTAGTGGTTCCTAATCACTGACAGGAACTGTTTTTTTAAGTGTAATACTTACTTGGCTGAAATTAAACAGCACAGTATACAAATGAAGTTGTTCCCAGATTCAAGCAAAGAAATCACTAGATAGTAACTCATGGATATTGGGGGAGCAAAAAGCATCTTGTGAAGCAGAATGGGAAGTTGCCAGGAGGGAAATAATTCTGGGGCCCTCTGAATTTTCTGTAGGGTTGTGACATCCTGTAGCTTATAAGCATCTTTTTGATTAAAGGGGCAAGGTTAGTAAGAAAAATCCTTCCCATATGTAATAGTGTTGCCTAGTACCGTTTTCTTTGGGTGAACGTTTATTTGGTACTTACTTCATAAAAGACACTGGACAATAGAGATATAGATGTTGATGGAGACAGTTTGGAATATTGATAATGTCAAGAGATGATGAGGGTTGTAATAAGAGTGAGGCCAGGGATGTTGGGGCTGGAGAGATGGTTCAGTGGTTAAGAGCATGGACTGCTTGTACAGAGGACCCAGGTTCGATTCCCAGCACACATGGCAGCTAACAACTGTTTGTAACTCCAGTTCCAGGGTATCCAGCACCTCTTCTGACCTCCAAGGGCACTGCATGACATGGGTGCACTTACGTACATGCGCACAAGACAGTAATACACATACAAAATAAAAGTAAATAAAATATATTTAAAAAACCACAGTGAGGCCAGGGATGAAAGGACTGGTAAGTGGGTGAGGCCATGTGCATGTGCCTGCTCACACCCTGTGTGTTGGATCTGGGAGATGGGAACTGCGTGTGCGAAGGTACCAGGGATTCAGGGAACTGAATGATATCAGTGAATGTACGACAGGAAGAAGGATAAGTGTTGGGTATTCATCTCAGATATGAGACAAGGATCAGATAATGTGGGTCTTGGGGATGGCATGTGTGGGCACTGGGAAATGATGGATGGTTTCAGTTATGGGCAGTGACAGCATCAGACCCCTCTGCTAACTTTGATGAAGGTGGACTGAGAATGGGGTTGTCAGAGAATAGATGGCAGGAGGTCAGGAAGCAACAGTGGGCTGGGGAATGGTAAAAAACAGAATCGAGACAGCTTGAGCTGAGCAGAATGCATTGGACCATATAGCTTAGACCACAGACACTTAAGGTTTACTTTTCTGAAGGCTGGTTAGTCTAAGGTCAGGACACTGGAAGCCTTGAAGTCTATTGAGGCTTTACCTCCTAATTTCCAGATGGTTGCCTTGATTTTGTGTCTTCACAGAGTGACAAGCTTAGGAGTCCAGCTTTCTCAGGTCCCTTCCCATGAGCAGGAAGGGGTTTAGCCATCAACACCTCTTTTACCTCCCAAAGCTGATATCCTTCTCATGATATCACTACATTGGGAATTAATATGTGAATTTGGGTGGATTCTTTCTCTTAAGTAGTGGCCAAAGAGATGGAGGCACAGGGGTGGAAGAGATAGCCAATAGGTGGGTGAGGGTAATGCTGACAGCTCTTATAAGGACCAGTTTGAAGAGTGGGAGGTGGCAGGCTAAGCCTTACACCGCACATCCCTCTGAGCCCTAGTCCTAACCATCCTCTTCTGGGATTCAACTCAATGTGATCTGACTCTGATTTCCTGATGCTTATTCATGCTATCTACATAAGGCCATAGAAGCATTAAAAGTTACAGTGACTGTACAAGAGACTCATGCTTAAGATGTCCTACTGATTCAGCATGGTCAAGTCAAAACTAATGAATATTATGGGGTTCTAAAAACCATCAAGCCCTCATATCACCCAGCCTTTAAGTTCCCTTAGATATTGACCATCAGGGGTGCTTTGGCAGTAAACGGGCTGGTTAGGTGTGGCTCAAATCCCAGTATGGTGCTTTATTTTCCCTGTGTCAGTCAGCTGGTCTTTCTGAGCTCTGACCTCTTCGTAGGCTTTTCCTGAGGACTGAATTGGGCTGTACCTGGGGAGCTGGTGGGTGAGGGACCTGCCCCCTGCCTACCTCAGTGATGTACTGGATTCTGTTCCTTAGGAGGTCACCTCATTGAAAGGACAGTATACTTGGTGGATGTTCCTTGGCCCAAGGGACCGAGCGTTCTTTCCTCATTTTTAAAAATCATTTTTTCCCTTTCTCGTTCCAGCCCTGGGTGACAGCTGGTGCTCAGATGTGACAAGATGTCTCATTTGGGGCAGTGTGCTTGGGGATTTTCATCTGTATTTGCAGTTTTTCTAGTGAGCCTCCCTGTGTGGAGATGCCCAGGACTTTCACATCTCTAAACTCTCAGAGGGAGAGGTGACATTCACCCAGGCTTTGCAGCACTGGGACCTGCAGGCTTTCCATCCAGTTCATTCCTTACCTTTCTCACTGTTCCTCTTGCTCCTGAAGTTTACTTGACTGGTGTCAAATCAACCACCTCTTGATTCATCTCCAAGGCTAGACTCACACACTTTCTCCCTTTGCTTCCAAACTTATAATGACAGTGGCAATACAAATGCTACCACTCAGATGCTTCATGTCAGTTTTATGAACCGGGCATGATTCTAAGCACTCGGCATGTATAAATTCATTTATTCGTCAACGTGGGTCTTTGAGAAATGTATCTGATCAATGCTCTCGTTTCTGCAAGGGTGTGAGTAGTTCTCAGAACACAGAACAGTGTCCCGTGCTTCCTCTTCTGCCTGTGACCCTCATGGTCCTGTGATGTCAGGAGGTGGTTGAGAAGATCTTGATGCACTGTGACATATTGCCTACCGCCAAGTTGATATGACTCAAGCTTTTTTTGTTTTTTCCCTGAAAATAAGCTTACTTTTGGAAATATTTGCGTGCAGAAAATAAATTGTAACCCTCATCCAAACACAGTACCATTTATTGCACTATAAGGTAACGGTAGGCGTCAATATAAAGAAAACAGAATAAAATTAAACAGTGTCAGTGAGTGTTGGCAAGGCTTTTTGCTTGAAGTTCGCACTCTGTGCTAAGAGGGGAATAAGAGTTAGAGATGCTAAAGACACGGCAACATCAAATCAAGACTTCCTCCTTGATAACAGCCAGGCATGGTGGCGTACTTTAAACCCAGCACTCGGGAGGCAGAGTTCAAGACCAGCCTGATCTACATAGTGAATTCCAAGCCAGCTAGGGCTACCGGGAGACCCTGTCTTAAAAAGACCAAAAAGAAAGAATTTACAAGGGAATACGTTTTTCATGTAACATGATTTTTGTGGTGTGTGTGTATGTGTGTGTGTGTGTGTGTGTGTGTGTGTGTGTGTGTGGTATATACACACATGGGTAGGCCAGAGGAGGAAGTCAGGTATCCTGATCTATCACATCTATCTTATTCTTTGAGACATGGTCTCTCATGGAACCTGGAATTAGGCTGACAGCCAGCAAGACCCAGGATAGATCCTCCTGTCTCTGCTTCCCACAGCACCTGGTTACAGACCCACATGACCACATCTGGCTTTTTATCTTGCTGCTGGGGATTCAAACTCAAGTTTTCATGCTTGCAAAGCAAGCACTCTTACCCAATCAGCTCTCTCTGTGGCTCTTTATCACACGATGGTCTCATGTTTGCTAAAAGCAACTCCTTATTTGGATAAATAGAGCTAGAAAGAATAAAGGACAGCTGCTTCCTGACCTGTTTGAGTATCTACATCTCTCCACGCCTTCACAGTGTCTAGTCTGTCCCTGACTGTCTAGATCTCTCTCCACTTCCTCACAGTGGCTGGTCCCTGACTGTCTAGATCTCTCTCCATTTCCTCCTAGTGTCTGTCTGCTCCAGTCTCCTGGTTCTTTTTTTGATGTCTTACTCTTTGCCACCTCTCTGCCTTTCCACATGCTGTTTTGTCGGCCAGAAGACCCTCACCTTCCAACCCCAGACACCTACTTCAGCTCTTGTTTGACTGTCTTTCCCAAACCCTAAAGTACAGTATTCCAGTTCCTCCTCTGTTCCCAATTCAAATGCCACCATCGATTGTCTCTATAGGAGTTTCTGAGGGAAACATTGTTTGTGGGCTTCTCCATTCATCCTTTCTTTCTGCCTCCCTCTGGAGGAGTTGAAATACTTGAGAGATATTTCATAATACTTCCTCATACCCATGAGAACCAGTTCCGTTCAATGAGATGTGTGAGGACAGTGTGTGCTGATTGACTTCTAGGTGTCATAGGGACAAATTTGGGAGAAAAATTCACTAAAACTTGTCCTTTCTCTTTCTTCCTGTCTGAAAGACAAGCCAGATACAGCAGCAGCCTGTGGCGATGTAGTGACAAGTGTGGGAATGGAATGGTAAGTCCATGCACTATAAGGAAGAAGTGATAGAAAGATGCACATGTCTGCTGAAGACACGGGACCACCTGCTCTCAAGCTCCTTAAATAAGCAATCGATGTCAAAGTTTTAGTGAGTACTAACTAGAAGGTCTGTTGCACACTAGAAGCATTCCTAACAGATCTTTTTCACACATCTGCATTCCTTCTTGGATTTTAAGTAAATAAAAATGGGGCAGTATGCTTTTCTTTTGAGCCTCAGTTTTACACAGGGTCTTGCACATGTGGAATTTGTTAACATCATTACTGTTTTTATTTTATTTAATTTATTTATTTTTATTTTATGTGCATGAGTGTTTGCCTGCTTGTATGTAAGTGCATGGGTGTCATGTGATGCCCACAAAGGCCAGAAAAGGGCATTGGATTTCCTGGAACTGGAGGTAAGAATGGTTGTTATCTACCATGTGGGTGCTGGGAACTGAACTCTGATCCTCTGTAAGAGCAGTCAGTACTCTTAACCCCTGAGCCATCTCTCCAGTCCATCATTACTGTTTCTATTATCAATAAACAACTTATATTTATTCAAAATTCATGTGCATCTGGTTCTAGAGCTTGGATCCTAATTACTTCCATATTATTGGTCATAATGAAATGAGCAAATAAATTAATAAATAACTTACCAGCAACAGGATTTGCTGAAATTGGTTTTTATGACAATTTTATTTAGAGACTTTATTGAAATTTATATGGGAGTCAAAAATTGAGGCTAATTGTTCTATACTTTGTTTTGCCTTTATTTATTTTTGCTTACTTTGTCCTAACTTGTGAAAATTTGCATCTTGCACCCTCAAGGAGGCATAAAGGGAGACAATTTGAGTGTAGTTGAATCTCATGTGCCAGATATGCTAGGCATGTGAACTGAAGTATATAATAAACAACACAGGGGTAGAGCTGTTACTGTTCCCTTTTTATCAGGGGAGTGATAGACTTAAAGAGAAGGAATACAATTAGCCTTCCATATCCATGGAAACCACATCCACAGGTTCAGCCAACCACAGATTGAAATATTTGAACAGCAATTCAATTGCATCTATACTAAACATGCATAGAGTTATTTCTGGCTGTTATTCCCTAAACGGTACAGAGTAACAACCATTTTCACAGTGCTTACATTGCAATAGGTACTGTAAGTCGTCTAGAGATATTTAAGCTGTTCAGGAGCATGTGCATAGGTTATGTGTAAATGGTATGTTATTTTGTGTAATGGATTGAGCGTCTGCAGACTGGTATTCTCAAACAAGGATCTATTCCCATGAATGCCACTTGCAATCATATTATAATACAGCCCTGTGAGACTTACACTTCCTGCTGTGTCATCTGAGTAACACCTGCCTGAGAAGTTGAAGCGACACTATCCTTGCCATTTGATGTTTTTCTTAGAGGTCAGGATGATGGGTCCCTTTGGTGTATCCCTGAAATCAGTGGGTTGAGACCCTGCCTGTGTCATGTGAAGGGTCGAACTATGGTTTCCCTGAGCTCATAAATATTGAATCCTCTTCAACTTGCATTTTCTTCATCTACTGCGGGTTCCCTGAAAAGATACCTGGTGGGAAGGGGATACCACCTCTAATTGGCCTTGTATGCATTTCTCTGTTTCTGTTCCAACCTTTACTTAGTAGCTGTGACTCTCTGGGGTTCCAGGGCCAGGTAAGAATACCCGGGAACAGCTCTCAACATCTGTAGCAATGTAACCAGTCCCAGGGGAGCTGGCAGCACAGTATCCATTGTTTACCTCCAGGGAGTAATAAAAAGTGTTCATTCTTAAAATGCTTTCATTTCCTTCCTCTTTCGTTCTCTGCTCTTTCACAGAAGAGCTGTCTCAGCACCCCTCCCTGTAACATGCAGGCCCATGTTATACAGCCCTTGCTTCCCTTGTACCCCTTTCTGATTCTGCCTCCTTCTTTCATATTTTTTTTTCCTACAAAAATTCTACTACAAAATTCCCTTCAAAGCTACATGGCAAGGCAAAGCTTTCTATAGTCTTGGGAAGTGGAGGTAAATGAGTTTAGAGTATAGGGAATAGAGGAAGTTTGGGAACACAAGTTGATCACAGTGCTTCATTTTGTTGTGTGCCAGTGCCCATCCTCTGTCAGGTCTGTGCCATCTATATCGTGCTATGGTTATTGCTCTGTTTGCCCCCTGCAGGCTCCCGTTTCTTGCTCACCTCTCCCCCAGTCTTGCTGTAATGAAAGGGTCAGTTCACTGCTCAATGCATTTGGGAAAAGATGAAGCAGGAAGAACACCGATATTGTCTTTTCAGGCTTTTTTTTTTCCCTTGACTTTTGTGGTCAGTAGTTGAAACCTTTGATGGGGCAAGGATTTGGGATACAGAAAAGCATGAGACCATGGGGCAGCTCCTCACAATTCTAGGAGCTATTTTCTTCCTTCAGTTCGTCCTCTTGGTAGTGAATAAAGAGGGTTCAGGCAAAGACCTCGGTACAGAACAGAGGTAACCTGGGCTACAACTCCTGGATGAATAGAGGGGAAGCCATAAAGCCATAGGAGGTATCAACATGGCGGCTCTAGGCAAACAGGATCCTGGTGGCATTAGAATTGTTCTGAAGGTTAAGTATGATGCAGAAGCAGCAGAGGACTGCTGAGGTTTGTGAATCTAAGCTAGCCATGCTGGCTGCATAGATTGCTGGAGTTGGTTGCACCCCAAACTCACAGCACTGTGCCATTGAACCTCAGAAAAAACTAGGCTCGCCTCCTTTTCCTACACTATCTTCTGTGAAGGAGAGACTTCAGATGAGAACTTGAGTTACTTTACAGCTAGATGAAATTACATATGAATATATACATATATGAATAGATTCACAGGTATATGAAAAAATATATATATTCTCCTCATTTACAATCAGTTCATTTCATTAATACCTATAAGGTAATGACTATGGCTCTGTTAAGTCCTGTTCACTTGGTACAGTTTGCTCTCAGGTCATCTTTGCTCATGTGTATGGCTAGTGAGACCTCCTATTTACTAGATATAGAAGGAAGGATCATAAACACTTGCCCTCATACTTACCTCCCCTTTTCCCCTGACTTGTGTTTCTCTGTCTCTAATGTCTGTTCAGCCATCCTGAACTTGCTTCAGTGCCTCAAATATGCTGTGCTCTTCCTCACCCCGATTGTACACATGCTGTTGTCACTTGCGTGTGGCACGACTTCCATACCCTCCTCAGACACCCACTACAGGATAGATGATATAGAGCCACATATTCTTTTGCTAGAATAATTTTTATATATACTTCAAGTAAGCTTTCAAAGGTAATTTATTATGTTTTAGGAAAATTCCTTTGATCGCTGTCCTCCAAACGATGTGTTTCCAGCACTTTAATAATTCCTAAAATGTACCAAGGCTTAATGAATATTTGGTGAATGGGAGAACATTGGAATGAATCAATGAATAAAATATGAATAGATGAGTGGATTGATGAACAAGGGAAATGATGGGTGGACACATAAATGAGGAAATGATGTTTGGCTTCTCACCCCTCATAAGCCAGAAGCACTCTGCTCCTCAACTTATTTCAGTATACCATGCTGGTCAAGCATCTTCATGTCCTTCATCTCATGTCAAGGAGACACATTTACTTTTCAAAATCGAATCTTATTTTGAGCAGGCAGAGGTCAGAGCCAGTAAAGCTGAGGCATAAATCACTTTTTGTTTTTATATATTAGAACTTGGTCATCTGAATAAGGTACTTTCATTGACTTGTGGAGACAGGTTGACTGACTTCACAGGTCCCCAAGGACATCAGAAGTCACTCATTCACTTGTCTTCATTCATCTTCTCAATTAGTCTGTCGATGCAAATTTGGCAATTAAGAGAAACAGTTTGGGGCAATACAATTGTGTTCTGATTGGGTTTAGCACTTTATGAACTGCATCTTTGGAACACTTCTGCATCTTTTCTGAGCCTTATCTCACTGTTGTAGAGGCTCATCATTTTAACTCCCAGGGTTGTTCTGAGCATTGAATGAGTTAATAAATGCAAAGCATTTTGTACAGCTCCTGGTATGGAGTCAATGCTAAATAAAGGTTAGCTCCTATTATAAATTCCCTAATATATAAATTCCTCTTCTCATCAAATATTTATTGAACTCCCATTGAGTAGCAGACCCTGAGCTGGGTAAGCTATGCTTCCTATCTCTTAAGATCTCACAGTCAGTTGAGTGTGACAGAGACTTAGGTCAATAATTAGAAAACTCGCTGACAGATTTAATGATGCCATATAGAAAGTGGCAAGACTGGGAGACTGACTGGTGATGTGTGTGGAAATGGGTGGTAGGGCTGGGGATGGCTGAGGAATGCAGATCTAATTGGCACGGGTAATTCTGGGATTATTAAAATGTTTCAGCTGCACTAGGAGGATGAACTACAGACAGGTGGGACTGGGTTCGATGCTGCAGACAGGAGATCAGGGCAGAACCTGGTATGAAATGAAGAAGATCTGCATTAAGGAAGAATGCAGATGCAGAAGAGCTGGGGCAGTGGGGGGCTTCCTAGTCATCTGTTTCCCATCGAATGGCCTATGGGACATCTTGGGGACTTGTTAGAAATACAAACGCTCAAGCTTCCTCTGAGACCTGTAAGCTTCCCGTGTCTACACATCAGTGAGACCCTGGATGGTTGTAGAGACACTGAATCTTGAGAGAAACTGAAGAAGGCTGTAGAATTTGGTGACCACCTGGATGTGAAGGTGGAAGTCATGAGAATCAAAGACATAAACTGGACTTGGCATCTTGAGATGAGAGAGGAGAGCTGTCTCCCTTATACATTTTTTTCTCCTTGATATTAATTTAGAATTAGCATTGTAAAATGGGTACAAATTTGTGGTTCCTCCTTGAGCTTTTTGGGGTGACAGTTCTGGAATATTCCCAGATATATCTTTGCCCATCAGGACAAGTTTCACCTCTTTATCTCCAAAGCCATAGCAAAGTGTTTATGGCTGAGTTATA